GGTTGAGCGTGGGCAGAGGGTCATTACCCTAAAATTTCAGCCTCCTAGACTCCATGGTTCCCGAGACATTAACTTACCCGTAAAAAACTTTCACAGGGCTGTACCCGTTACCTGCGGGTACGGAGAAGCTGAATTTAAATTTGCGGGGTCATTAAAAAACTTTCACAGGGCCGTACGCGTTACCCGCGGGTACGGGGAAGATGAATTTAAATTTGCGGAGTCACACGTGGGTCGTGTTACCCGTGGGTACCGGGAAGCTGAATTTAAATTTGAAGGGTCACACGTGAGTGGGGAACGTCTTACCCGCGGGTACGGGGAAGCTGAATTTAAATTTGCGGGGTCACACATGGGTGGGGAACGTCCGGCCGTACACGTTACCCGTGGGTACGGGGAAGCTGAATTTAAATTTGTGGGGTCACACGTGGGTGGGAAACGTTACCCTATTCAGCGCTTTAGCTTTTGTGGTTCCCGAGTTGAAAGTTGCGGACAAGTTGCTGCGGACACACATACACACACACAGACAACCTCTCGTCAATATGCCTTTTTCGCATTGCACTGCTGCAAAAAACGCATAAAAATGTGGTAAGTTCATTAATTCATGACGCTCAGCAGACATCATTTTCTATTTCAAAAAAAGCAAAAAAAATATGGAATTTTGGCTGCCCAAGTTCTCCAATTACATAGCAGATTGCAGATGTATCATCCGTTACCTTCCAGAATCGGCAACAGCGCGTCGGCTGATAAACAAAACATTGTGACCGTAAATCCAAAGTTGACAAAAACGCATGATATCACATGAAAAAAATAAAACTTACGTAAATGAATAGATCACTCCGTCTGTTTGCTTAACAATGTCCGTCAGAATACGTTCCGCGATCTCCATTTTCAATGAACTGCTTGTCTTCGAAAGCTTTTTGGCCTGAGCTTGCGTTGTTTCGCCGCTTCTCATAATTTCTTCTTTGACTGCCTCCAGATTAGCAATTGATGGGCCTCTAAAATATGATTATTAGCCTCAGAGAGATTTGCTGCTTCGTATGTGTAATCCTGAGTGCCGTATAAAGTTACAAAAGAATAATTTTAAGTTGTAATCAAGTGGCAACGATTTTGTATTGTGATACAGAGAGAAAACTCATTCAACTGAAAGGACCGAAAAGTTCGCCAGTTCAACCGTAACTAATAATTACCAAGAATAAGTGAGCCTTCGTAATTCATGACAAATGTTGGAGAAGCCGCAAGGTTCCATCCAAAATGGTTGCAAGGAATTCGACAGCGAAAGCCCCGTATTTATGAAAATTCTTACATGGTCTAGTCCTTCTACAGCACTTCAGTTATGTAGAAGTGCAGAATGGGTGAAATGAGTTAGAACGTAAGAAGTAAAACAAGAAATGAGTAATGACACAAGGAGTGAAGCAGATTTATACATTCTAGCCTCAACAAAAAAGGGAAGACAAAAACAAAAGTTAGAATCATCCGCAGGCCGAATATCGGGCTATGTAAGCTGATTGTAGCTTACAAGTAGATCCCAGGAGCTTAGGAAACGAAGGCATGAATGAATATATGAAAATGGTGAGTTAAGACGTTTTGGTTCATTAAGTCATATACATTTTAGCTCAACACCACGACTGGACCTCATCAATATGACGGTCTTAGTGTTCAGGGAGGGGAAAAGAGAAAGAAACAAAGAGAAGAAGATAAGGAAAGGAAAATAAAAAAGGGGAGAATAAAAAGGAAAATAAGAAAGAAGGATGTGAAGTGTAACTTCGGTTATAACAACCACTGGAAAAAAAGGGAGCTAATCTGCCTTGAAACGATGGATTATGAAGAAACGATACCTAATCCAAAAAATTATTTCCATAAGCTCAGTTTGAATCAGATTAAGTTTTGTAGTGTTTAAAATTATGTCCCATTATGTTGTAAGCTATTCTTGCATTTATATTCAAAACACTGTTAATTAATCCCACGCAAACATTGCCGGAAACACTGCAAATGCATTTCGCATAAAGTGATGGTGCTCTGCACATCCAAAAGGTATGCCGTTACGGGTAAAATCTTGCAAGGCACTTTTGCTACAAAAATAGTACTTATAACTGAATATTCTGGTTAATTTTTCAAAAAATAAAACAAACTATAAAAGCCAGCAGCGTTATGGCGATACAGCATTTGTCAAAACAACTGAAATATTGGGCTTCTCAGAACCAAACTCATTTACAGTACTCCAACAAAACTAACGTAACTGCACACCCATAAACTCTCAAGAAATTAATTTTCATGAAATTAATATCAAGATACCAGAATACAAGACTTTTTGCATAATCTGAGTGGGGAATCCTATGTTAATAATATTACTACGATGCATCTGTACACACCACGCACAGTTATGCTACGTAAATGCACATCCCTATCCGATGTATGTGGCCATTTATCTCTTCACAGCCCGCTCCAGCACCCGCTTACTTCTTCGACTGCCAACGTTAGGCCTCTCCGCTGTGCACAGATATCTAGGCGTGAGCAACGAATGCTGGCAACGGATGAAGCGATAGGTCGGTTTGAGACTTCAGTGATAGCCAAAGCCGATATAACTCATTAATACCCAATATCCGTCGATTGTTAAAAAAGCAAGCAACATGTCCCCAAATGCATATAATAACCGAATCCAAGAGAACACTTGAAAAAAAAAAATAATTGGCCAACGCACGGGCTGCCCGTGCAAAGATGCGTTTTTTGCATAGCTCCCCGCAAATTTTTGTCGCTAACGGCAGTGGTTTTTCAGGCAGATGCTTCTAGTTGAAAGAATTTCAGACTGGCCGCCAGAATTGTCAGGAAACATCCCTTCAAAATCCCAGTCTTCTAGCTTCTCACTTTTCTGAGTTAGCAACTTACCCGGAAGAAACTTTCAAGGGCCCGCACGTAGGTACCACGTTTACTCGCGGGTAGGGTTTGAACTCGTTAATGCCTAAAGGGGAACATCCCTCTAAAATTTCTGCGTTCTAGCTTCTCAGATCCCCGAGTTACGAACTTACCCGAAAAAAATTTTGGCGGGCC